CCGGGCACCCATGCTCGCCATACTCCTCTTGCATCACTTCTAGTACCTTCCACTACAAAGTTCTCTATCGGGGTAGCTGGAAAGGACAAACATTCTAGGGGCCCACTCCTACATCACAAGGCGGTTTTGATGGTGTTCTTCAGTACAGTCAAATTGATACCAAACATTAGCCATCTGGGCAACCTATGTGAGAATTTAAAAATAACTTAGGATCAGAGGGAGAGGGAGAGGGAGAGGATGAGAGAGAGAAATTTATATGAAAGACTTATTCCAGCATTGTAGAGGCTGAAACAGGAAGACTGCTGAGTCTGAGGCCAGTCTGAGCTACAGTGTGAGTCTCAAAAGAAAATGAAAAAACCAAAACCCAAACCACTTAAATTGTAAAATTTCTGAAAGAAAACAAAGCCTTGTAAATGCAAATGGAAAACGGACCAAAAGACGAGCTGTGGAACAAGCAAAGATCTTTGAAATATGTATCCACCAATGAACAGTAGGAGAAAAATGAACAGAAACATCACTGCGAGAAGATTCACAGATATCAAATAAACATGAAAAATGTCCAAAGAAATGCAAGTGAGCACTGCTTGGGCTTTCAGCGCACACTATGAGGACCCTTGCGGGAGCACGGGAAAATCCGGTGTAGATTGAGTACGGCAGCTGAGACCCCCTAACAGTCCCTCTGAGAGGAAACAGCTACTTACCATTTTTTTTTAAAAAAAGGCAAATTAAACATACTCTTATAACATGATCTAATCATTTTACTGCAAGAGAAATTGAAGGTTTGGTTCACATGTAAATGTGCATGCAATCATTGTTGAATGTTGGGTAGAAATGTGAGTGGCCATCCCTGATTTTTAAATTTAAATGTTTATTTTTTGTGTGTGTCCCTGAAACTATGATCCCGAAACTCACTGTGTGGCCAGGCTCGTATTGAACACATGATTCTCCTGCTTCAGCTTCTCCAGTCCTGGGACTGTGGGCATACGCCGTGGCATCACCATTCTTGTTTTGAAATTAGAAACCAAGTATTGGGTCTTTCCGAATTAACTAGTGTGTTTTTTATACATTCCCATGATGAGATTGAGGAGGTTCCAGTGTGTTCTACTCTGCTGAAAGGAGTGAACAGAGCCAGGGGCTCTTTGTGCATTTACTGTGATGATTGTGCAGTTTTCGTGTGTGTGTGTGTGTGTGTGTGTGTGTGTGTGTGTGTGTGTGTGTGTGTGAATGTTTGTGTAGGTCAGAGAACAACTTGTCATCCTCAGTCCCTCTTCTAATTTTTTAGACAGTCTCTCAGTGTAACTGGTGCTGACCAGCTGGCTGAACTGGGTGGCCAGCGAGCTTGGAGGGACCGTCTGATGCTCACCCTCACGTGCTAGTGTTGGTCCAGCACGCACTCTGTCCGACTGACGCTCTCCCCAGCTCCAGTCCCCTTCCCTGTGGCCTGGCCACCTACCTAGGTGCTCTCTAAAGGCTGAAGCAGCTGGGAGTCTCCTGTTCTGGTGACAGGCTTTGCAGCTGTTGTGTTTGGCCTCTGTGTTGCTGGAGGGGTCTGTGAGCGGCTTATCTGTCTTCTTTCCCTGTGCTGTGGGAGCTGCTGCTCTCAGTCCTTTCATATCAGAGCCACGTGGTCTAATGATTGGTCATTTGTGCACAGCAAATGGTTCACTTCCTTACTATTGGACTGGAGAGTCAATGAAGCCGATGGGGCTGGATTTTTCTTTTGTTGGCACTATTGTGTTCTGTGAAGAATCAGTTGGTTTCAGATTAATATCTGACTGTTGATTTCTCTTTATAAGACATTAAGCAAGCTGCTCATTGTCTCTGAGCCTGTTTCCTCATGTCTATAAAATGCATATTATACTACACAACTTCAAAATATACTACAAAGCTGTAGTAATCAAAATAGCATGTTATTGGCAAAGAAATAGACCAATGGAATGAGATCAAGGGTCTAGAAAGAAGCCTGTACATCTATGTGCATCTGGATTAGACAGAGGTGATAAGAATACATATCATAAAAACACAATTTGGAAAGGACAGCCTTTAAAATGAAAATGAATGGTGCTGGAAAAGAATAAGACTAGAAGCCCCCTCTCAGCAGTTATAAAACCAACTCAGAATGAATAAAAGATGTAAGTGTGGAATAAACAGAACCACCCCCCCCCCAAGAAATGCTTGAGAACATTGGTGTGTTTGGGGTAGGACCCCAAAGCACAGGAAACAACACATCAGACCTGACACATGGATTCCAACAAACCGAAAGGATTCTGCAAAACCTCTAACAAGCCACGAAAAGTTGGCATCTCAGAAGGACACAGGAATGAATGAAGAGCAGGTTTTTTTTTTTAAAAGGTCCCATATCACTAATCTGCAAAAAAAAAAAAAAAAAAAAAAAAAGCAAATTCAACCACAAGGGTAGCATTTTGCCCCAGAAAGAATGACCATGATAAAAATGAGTAAAGGTAATTTTGTATAGCAACTTAAATAAATAAACAAATAAGTGGCTACCTTCTCCCTGCTGGAGAGGGGAAGGAAGCAGGCGCTGGCCAGGAAGTGGAGGAAGGCAGCCCTGCTGGAGAATGTTAATTAGCACAGTGATTATGGCCAACACTAAGGGAGTTCCTTGAAAAATTAAAAATAGAACCATATGATCTGAGCCAGTGATTTCACTCCTAGGAATATCCAGAGGAAATCGAGCCAGTGTTCACAAGAGATACCTGTACCCTCAGTTTATTGCAGCCTATTTCAAATGGGTAAGAAATGGAGACAGCTAGGTGTCCATCAAATGTTGGATGCATAAAGAACGTAGCCTGGATACACAGTTGAATGTTACATACAAACTTGGAATCCTGTCTATTCTATGGCAACACATATGGAAATAGATCATTTAATGAAATAAGCTGGGCATAGAAAAGAGTCATTTTTACCTGGCATATAAAAATACTGATCTCATATAAGCTAAGAAGAGTGATGGCCAGAGACTGAGGAGATAAGGGGGAGAGAAGGATGGGTAAAATAAACCAGGCTGCTGTTTACATACTATGAACTCAGAAGGCTAGAAGAAAAGATTTTAAATGTTTCTACCATAAATAAATATAGCCTGATTCAAACATTATATAATGTGTACACAGATCAAAGTATAACATTAGCCCATTGAGATTTATCACTTTTGTTTTTATGTATTAATTAAAAGTTAATTTAAATCAAAAGTAAGAAAAATACAAGTTATCTTGATTTTAATGGATATGATATATAGATATCAATACATTTATTGAACTATCATACCATATCCTATGAACATGTGCAAGTCTATATTCATCAAAAATATGTTATTTTAGGACTGTTACATGGCTCAGCTAATAGAGGCTTCCATGCCAAAACCCTGAACTCAAAGTTCAGCAGAAATGGGCAGGTGGCTCATGTCTATAATTCCAGCACTTGAGACATGGAAAAGGATCAGAAGTTCAAGGTCATCCCTAGCCACATAGGCCATTTGCACCAGATGAGAGCATCATCTTTGAGATACATAAGACTATGACTCAGAAATGTGTTATTTTAAGTGAAAAAACAACAACCAAACATCACTAGTCTCTGTGTTCAGCATGGCTTGGCCCTAGACACCTGATGGAGGAGGCAAGAAGATGAAGAATGGACAGACACTAAAGAAAAAACAGACACACAGATGAAGAAAAGCTTGGGTCAGATGGTCTGTGTGCACTCTGATGGAGTAGCACCAACTACCCTGACCTTGGACTGTTCATTGTGAGGAGGTCTCTGTGGGCAGCAGTCTCGGGCTGTAAACCAGGAGGGAGAAGCTGCAGGTGCTGGTCTTTGCGCATGTGGTCAATCATTAATAAACACTTGTACACACTGCTAACATTTGCACTCAGGCCAGAGGGAGGCTTTGACAATTTCCCAAGGGTTGGGGCATTGGTTATTGTCCATTCGACAGTATACATTCATTCAGGATTTCATGTTCTTTACACAGTTACTTAAGGCTTCTCTGGCTGCCCACATCAGTTATTACACACTGTACTGCACATAGTTTTACATGATATATAAACTCTGAATATTGAGTTATTGAACTTTACTGTTGTACTAGTTCCCACTCTGCTGTGCCACTTTAATCCTGATTTTTCACAGATATGGTGAGTTAGTGCCAAGAGTTGCTATTTAATTTCAGGTTCTCAGATCTTCATGCTGGCTGCTCAGGCTTACTGTCCTTTGACTGTTTTCTCTCTGTCCATCTCCTCACCTCCCCTTTCCTTTCCTCCGCTCCATTACCCTCTCTTCCCTCACCTCCACCTCCCTTCCTTCACACACGGTCTCACTGTGTAGCCCAGGCTGGCCTTGAATTCTTGATTTTAGTGCCTTAGTTTCTAAGTGCTGGGACTTCAAGAATCTATTCACCAAGACTCAGCTATATTTAAAACAAAATTGTCATATAATTTGCATACCTGCCAATCATTAAAGAGTATATCATAGTACACTTAATGTTATTATTTTACAATTTCAGCTGCCCATTTTTAGTTGTTTTGATCTTTTTCTGATTTTGTCTTTTGTTTTGAGAAAGGGTCTCACTGGTTAACATACGCACTTCTGCCTCATTTCTTGAGCTGGGATCACAGGCTAAGTCACCGCACCCACTTTTTTACCCTCAGATATCTGCAGCTTTGATGCAGGTATATACAGAAATGCTACAATCTTTCTATTTATTGAAGAACTTAAAAGTAAAAATTGCAAGATCAACAAGGCTTCATCTGCTTTAGTTAGCTCAATTTACTTCAAATTGCTTTAAAAAGTTGAATCCCATTATGTCAGAATATAAAGCACAGTAGTATAGAGTATGTCTGAACTAAGGTTGGGAGTGGACGGAAGATGGGGGGACATTCCGTGAAAGCATAGAGAAAGCAGCTGGTTACTTTGCAGGGTGTCAGATGCTAGGGACTGCTAATCCCTGGGAAAGACAGTAACACGTTGCTCTGTTTTGTGAATTGTAGCTGACTTCGGCCTGGCAAAGCAAAAACAGGAAAGCAGTAAGCTCACGTCGATGGTGGGAACCATCCTCTATTCTTGGTAAGGATACTTGTTTTATGGATCTCAAGTGGCACACTTAGCTGTTTCCGAATTTTGTTACTGTTCTTGCTTGCAAAGGGAAGAGAGTTTAAAAAGGAAGCTGATTTAGTAAGTTTTGTGTTCCTAGGAAAAGAGTTGTGTATCATTATATGTGTTCACAGCAATAACCACAGGGTTAGCCTGTTTATAACCTGTCTCTATTCCTTTGGGGGACTACTCTTTCTCACTTCCAATTGAAATAATCCTGGACACTAAATCTGCAGATGAAGGAGGGCTTGAGGACCACAGAACACCAGGAGCATCCCATTCCCTGACTTGCATGCAGCGACTTGGTATCTTCCTACCTGGGGAAGGATTTCTGTGTCCTCTTACCTGTCCTGTAGCTGGACAGTGACAGGGACTGAGTCAGTGCTGGTGCATCTTGAATAGATGGCAAGGCAAGTGCTTTGACCCCTGTCCTAGAGGATGACTAAGCAAGTGCTCTGCTGAGATGAACAGAGACACTTGTGACATATTGTACACACTGTGAAGGTTTTTGCATCCTGTTATCAGGACATCAGACTGTTATGTGGCTTATCTGGAGTAAAATAACATATTCTCAGAGAAATATTCTGAACTCTCATTTAATAAGCAACCAAGAAGCCTCCAGTTTACCCCCATCTAGCCAATTGGTATACACTGCATCCTAGGAAGAGAGTTAAAAATGATCTTGAGGGTTGCTGGGAACTTGTCTGGAAACAAGAATGCTGCTTTGCAAAGTCCCCTCATGGAGCATCCTGAGAAATGTCTGCTGAGGTGGGCTTCTGTCTATCTTACTAGAACTGCTTGTGTGTTCCTTGGAAACTGACTCATGGGAAGATGGGCAGGTGGGGCTGACCTTAGCAGCATTTCTTAAACATTGACATTGATCTTTGTGCTTAACTTCTTAAGCACAAGGCTGGCCCACTCAGTACTCAATCCAGGTAACTTGGTCACAAAACATTAACTCTGTATACATTCTGTCCCAACAGATCTCACTACCAAAATTACATGTCAATGAGATACAGAGTTAAATTTCAGTTAGTCATATTTGATATTACATTTTTATGGCCAAGAGTATATGAACTAAATTCAGAATGCTAATATTCTAACTAAAAACCAGGATTTTAGTCAGTGTACAAAATACTGGATTTCATTATGACACTCACATGTGTATATATGTGTGTGTATATACATGTGTTGTATGTTATATGTATCATTTTACCTTGCTCTGACTTGTCCCGACTTTGCTCCTCATCCATCCCCTGCTAGTCTCTTTCATTCCTTAAATTGTGTCCCTTCTCATGTCATATAGACGTTTGTGTAAATATTTATGTATCCAGAGTTGAGTATAGATTCTGCATATGAGAGAAAATACTTGTCTTTTTACTTCATTTTCTCCCCCTTGTTATGCCCCCCCCTCATTAGACCCCTTCTCCCCATCTCATAGTCCCCCTTATACTTTTATGCCATTCATTCATTTACTCATTCATTCAAATCTAGATTTTTCACATGAGAGAAAACATGTGCTAGGCATCTTCATAAGAATGATTCGTAATGTTCTCCACTTTTATTGGCTTTTCTTGTTGATAATGTCACAGTTTCATTCTTTACAGTGGAATAAAATTCTCTCACTCACACACAGACACATGTACTGTATTTTTTTTCCATCAATTTATCTGTTGATAGATATCTAGACTTATCCCCTATCTTGGCTAAGACGGACGGCGAGCATCTCAGTCATATCTAGCATTATTCTTTCTACAGTGTTTGGTTTTTTTTTTGTGTGTATAACTGTCTACCTGCAAGTCTGTACGTGCACTTGGTGTGCCTGGTGCCTGCAGAGACCAGAAGAGGGCACCAGATTCTTCCAGAACTGCAGTTACAGAGGGTTGTGCTCCACGCTGAGGGTGCTGGGAACCAAACCCAGGTCCTCTGCAGGAGCAAAGGTGCTCTTTCTGCTGAGTCACCACGGTGCTCTTTCTGCTGAGTCACCACAGTGCACTTTCTGCTGAGTCACCCTCCACCCCTCCACAGTGTTTTACAGCGCTTGCTGTACGGGTCTTTCACCTCCATGGTCAGGTTTGTTCCTATATATTTTATTATTATTCTGGAGCTATTGTGAATACCCCCCCCCCATTTGCTTCCTGGAAAGTTCATTATTGGTAAATAGAAAAGGTACCGATTTTTGTACGTTCATTTTGTGTCCTGGTATTTGTTGAAAGTATTTATTACTTAACAGTTTTCTTGGGGGAATCTTTCATGTGTTTTTATTGCATATATTAATTATATATAATAATGGATTTCATTCTGACATTATATGTATTTTTATCATATTCTCCCTTTAATGTCCTCTCTTTTCCTCCTCCCATCTGTAGACCCTCTTTTTCTTCCCAGTTTGTCTTTTTTTTTTTTTTTTTGGTTTTTCGAGACAAGGTTTCTCTATGTAGCTTTGCGCCTTTCCTGGATCTCGCTCTGTAGCCCAGGCTGGCCTCAAACTCACAAAGATCCACCTGGCTCTGTCTCCAGAGTGCTGGGATTAAAGGCGTGAGCCACCACCGCCCGGCCCCAGTTTGTCTTTTTTCTGCTTCCGTGTCCTGGTTTTGTGATCCCATGAGTTGAGAGTTACTTCCAGGAGCACGGACAACCTACCCGTGGCCATAATGGCTGCCCCTCCCACAGCAACTGGGAACTACCTGTCAGTCCTCGGGGAGAGGGGAGGCTTCATGAGCTCCTCTCTCCTCGCAAACAGTGCCTGACTGTAAATCCTCAGGAGAGGTGGGCCTCATAATTATGATCAAGAGTCATGTGCTTTGAAGAAAACTGATTTTTTTTTTTTTTTTTTTTTTTTTTTTACTGTAAGACATTCTCCTCCCCACTCTCTGATTCTTCAGATCTGCAAAGTGCGCGTCCTTTGGGGCTGGCTTCCTTTCTTTGTTCTGGTGTCTGCTCAATGCCACTTCAGTGCACAGGTTTCCCCTGATCATCTGTGTTCCTGTCGCCCCTGCAGCTTACCTCTCTCTGACATGTCATACGGGGCCCCTCAGTGTAAGGTCTTCTGACTTGGCGACAAGACAGAAGTGGCAACATCTGGTGGGAACTGCATTTGAACTTGCCTTTCCCTGCTAGAGTGATGTGCTCTAAGGCCCCTTTGAGGTACTGGGTCAGGTCGTAAGGCTGGCCCCCAACTTTCAGGGAGCCACAGAGTTGAGGCCAGTTCTTTGCACAGTACCATGTGTCTAAGCCTGTGATTTGCAACCTTCTTAATGCTGTGACCCTTTAATACAGTTCCTTATGTTGTAGAGACCCCCAATCATAAATTTATTTTTGTTACTACTTCATAACTGTAACTTTGCTACTGCTATGAACCATAATGTAAGTATTTCTTTGGAGATAGAGGGTTACCAAAGGGGTCACAACCCACAGGTTAAGAACCACTGGTATAAGCTTTGATGTGCATAAGTGAGGTGTGATATGCATTTTTGGCTCAAACCTTTTCAGCTTACAGGGGCCTATGGGGTGTGACCTTACCTTAGATGAGAAGCAGCTCCATTTTAGCTGCATGGTCATGAGCTGTTGCACACCACTACCTACCTACCGTGGGACTGGCAGAATCCTCGTAAATATTTTGAAGTGAAGTGAAGAACTGAAGTTAGATCAAGCCATTCCATGAGGCATGGGTGAAAGGTTCGTGAGCTAATTAAGTGGCTCCATGGGACTTCCCTCGCTTGGGCTCCACGAAGCCTGAAGTGAGCATTGTTAGTCTGAGGCTGTCATAGTCTGAGGCTGTTGGCACCCTGACGGCAGGTCTTTGTTAGTTTATTTTTCTATTTATCCTATTTTTATAGTTTCCACAGTTACAGGGACAGCAAAATAATTGGACTGAGTAAGCTAAAAAAAAAAATTGGAAGAATTTGGAATTAAATGAGACCAATATTCTTGTATAGTTGACACATAGTTCCAAGGAAAATTACAAGAAGGTACCTGCAAAATAATCAGAGTACTGATGCAGGCTGGCGGCTGACCCTAGGACAGGCGGACTGGAATTAGAATGCCTGGCTTTAAATTGGACTGTAGAATGCTGGCCTCAGTTTCCTTGTCTACAGTATGGGCATAATAACAGTACTGCCTGTCTCTTTGGACTATTGTAAAGTCCAATGTGACATTCATGTCTGGTGCCTGGTAGCCATCCTCTAAGAGCTTGCTGAAGCTGAATTATTGTTATGACTTGTCTTAGCCTGCACCTTGGAAGGGTGGTTGGTACTTATGAGAACAGATAGGGGAGATGGCCTAAGAGTCCCATTTGCTACCTGGTCGTTACAGTGGGCCCTCTCTAGTCTGTGTTTGTGACTCCATTCTTCCTTTCCCTCCCCAAATATGTTTTGGTCCCTTTGTGGCTGCTTTGGGGTTTTTATGACAACCAGGCCAAGAAGCAGAGAATTTCAAGATGAAGGGAAGCTGTTCTCAGCATGCAAAGGCAGAAACCTGCAGAGTAGGACTGTCTGCAGGGTAGGACTGTCTGCAGGGTAGGACTGTTTCCAGGGGTGCCCTGAGCCGGTGGGCAGGGAGGGTTTGTCAACAACTGTCTCTGTTATAGCTTTTTTTTGGTGTGGCCTGATAAAATTACCTGAATAATGTCACCTCTCTCTGGCCCTTGACCTCTCCCCATCTCATGAAAATCGATAAGCATTCACACACACACACACACACACACACACACACACACACACACACACACACACACACGGGTGCAGGGGGGAAAGAGACACACACACAGGCTTTATTATCTGCTTAGGTTAGATAGCAGAGGATTTTGAGGCAACTCAGAATTTAATTGCACAAATTAAATTCTAAGTACATCTTAAAGACTCACTGGAATAGGTCATGTGGTCCCCTGAATTCAAATAGAAGCTGCTAAATAGAAACTGCCGGAGAGCAGGTGTTAGAATTATCCCTGCACTGTGTCTGGCCATCTACTGCTC